AAATGATTATGCATACAATGGACTCCGGACAAGGTCCGTTCCTCTAAATCTTCCTACCAATATGACCAAGTTGCGAAAACGACGTCGAACAACCTCTATACAACGAAAGGAGACTGCGACCACACAAAAGGCCACAACATCTTGGTCTTCCTACCTTGTCTAAATTTCGTTAGCGTGATTTCTCATTCCGATCAAAAGGCACTGCAGACTGAAATTCAGCCCGGATTTGTTGGGCAAGGAGCATGTAACGCTGAAAACTTTTCAGCTCAACTTGACCATTACAAGTTGAAGCCACTCCTATTTTCGATTCCGATGGAAGCAAAAAATTCCACTCAACGTTTTTGACAAACGGAAGGCTCAAACCATATTATATTATTAGGTGATACATTAGGGCCATCTTCTCACCCGTGATAACCTTCAATGCCAGGATGAATATTAAGTCCCAACAACTCTCTGCCCCAGTTTCGCATGGCGTTAACAAAACTGATAAAGATTCTAGCCACGACGAATTTAGAACAAGACATATAAAAACACTGTTCTCATTCGTAGGTATGTATAAAAACCTGTATTGTCTTCGCATGCTATCCTGCTCTGAATAGGTCCGTCACCTGTTGTATGGAAGATCAGAAAGTATTCATCGTGGTCGCATGACGGTGCTCCGAGTACCTATTCGCACAAATCTAGTCACAGCTCTAAGGCAATTCCCCTACAGGTTCCGGTGAGGCCAACTTACGAATCCCTTCCACTTGCCTCTCCAACGTCATTCTCATTCTGTCTGAAGCGTGATTTAGACTCCACCACATTGCCTAATCGGCAGCTCTGGTGGGATCCAAAAAGAGGGCATACGATTTCAGATGCTAATACATTGACACCTCGGCTTCATGAGCCTAGATTCGTTAAGCTCCATGATGGTTGTGATTTTGATGATATAAAAAAACTTTACATCCTTGAGGTTCATTGCTGTTGTATCAGCTTTGTAGGTTTCGAATATAAACAAACAGATGATAGCGCATAAGCGATGGAGCTAAGGCCACACGACCCATCGGTTCGTTCGGCCACGTTTCGAGTCCAAAGGCGAAGTCGAAATCGCAGTCAACCCTAGAATGACAAGATTTATCTCGAAAACCTAATCATTACGACTACAATGATGCATCATCCCATCCATGCCTATCTACACTTACACACACGTCACCACAGCCCTGCCAACAGGAGTCTGTCGTCGTCTTCTGGTGGGATCTACCCACGCAAATCTCTTCATCACACACTTTCACTCAAAATGGAAGTAGGCTCAGCAAGTCGAAACCAATAAATTCCTCGAAACCCAACTTTTTTCATAATATATAACACGATGAGGTTAGTGCGGTGTGGCCTATTAGTAAGTTCGCCCATGATTTGAATCCCATCAGAGCCGATGAAACGATGAGGTGAGGTCAAAATCGTAAACAATCCCAGATAATAAATCTTTTCGAAGTAGTTTACAATTCTTATCCAAGATTCATTGAGTCTCGAAGGCAATAATGCACCATTGCATCCATACGTACCTAGACTTACACACATAAATAAAGACACACAAACGCACATATCACCATATCATTGTCAGGAGGAATCGGCCGGTGCATTCTTCTGTTGCGATCTAGCCACATTCTCTCCCCCATACACTTTCACTTTAAATGAAAATGAGCCCAACTAAGTGCGAAGCAAGAGATTTTTCAATTAAGAGAGCTCTTCTTCGTTATACCATACACATTTGGTCAGGTGTCATTTATTCACGGACTCAGCAAGGCCTTTACGACAGACTAATACTTGTAGGCAGAATGAATAATGAACGAAGGACATGGGTAGGACGGGTAGGCCTGAGAAGTGGCCGAGGCCCTTGCGGTTTCCGGTGGTCTCATCACAAATGGCATCGGTTCTGCGAACCCCGTCCCTTTGCAAGGTAGTTACAAGTCTCAGAAGCACACCCAGAGGCAACGAGTGTTCCAACGAAGGCTGACACGAGCCTTGTGCGCCTGTGTTCATGCTTACTTGACTCAGCATCTGCTGCCACGGCCTGTAGCGCCGTTTCCGTTTTGGCTAACATCCTCAAAAAGTGCACGCCAATCAGCACTTTACAGAATGATGCAGACCAAATGCAGCAATCAATTTTGGCAGAAGCAATCCTCGCTGCTACTTCAGACAATCCGAGAGAGAGAGAGAGAGAGAAATGAACCGCACCCACAAATCCCGGCGGATCCAGATGACACCTATCATGTCACAACAACAAAAACAACAACATCTGTTGTCGCGACCTGCAAGCGACAACTAACAGCCAAGGCACAAACAAACTAGAAGAGGTTATTAGGCCAACTGCGAAACCCATGTTCGCCCTAGTCAAATATGCCCCAGATCCGATTGAGCCACCAGACTCAGAGTCATATCAGCTGATCGATCCGTCGTTCAAGTGGAGGCAGTTGGCCTGATACCGTGGGTCGTCAAGAGGGCTATTTGGCGGCTTGACCTGACGTCAGGCTGTGTGCTTAACTCAGCCAACTAGGGGCCATTTTAAAAGGACAGACGTCGAGGAGACAAGTACCATTGTTGTCGGGCAAGGTGGTATGGAGTAGTTAAAAGTGAGGAGATTAAGAAAGACTTGCACTCAACTGTCACGCTCAAAGCTCAACGATTCGATCGAGTTAGGCAGAAAAACGTGATGAATTGAGGGGAACCGAGCTCTTGAATCGGTGACCTGCATGGCCTGACGAGATTGGACGTGTATCAAAAACTACTCACATTCAAAATAAGTAGTCTTGTCGATTGCAATGGCAAATACATGCTTGTTAAACCCAAAACCCTCTGGCATCCGCGGCTGCGTTGTGTGCATTCTTGCCAGAATACTCCTGGCCAGTTTCCGAATCCAAGCGGGGATGCTGATGAGGCAACAAATTCATGGGGTGCGCAATCTCATTATGGGACAAACTCCAAAATCAGTCCTTGAATTACCTTAAGCGACCTAAAATTCTTACTTAATCCCTACTAACAGACTCGCAGACTACTAACATCGAGAATAAGTAATGTCGTGATAGACGAGTGTGATTTGGATGTGATTTAAATACCACATCTGCCTTGTAAACCGCCAGTACCCGTGGCTATTCAGTGGAGTGGCAATTTGTGTCGTCATAATTTGATACCCAATATTAAATCCATTTAAGAATTATTGATAGTCTCGAAGACTACTAGATTTACCATAAGTAGCGTTGTCGATTGCGGTGGTAAACATATTTGAATGGTGGAACAGTAAAATTGCCACATTCAAGCCGAGCTGAGCAAGTCCCTTTAAAGGTAAGGTTAAGTGAAATTCAATGGCATATGCATCTAATTATGGGAAAACTCAGGTGTCACAACTTAATAATCGCTTAAATGCTCAATTGAGACTTACTGATAGTCTCAAAAACTGCTCACATGGAAAATACGTCAAGCCTGTTTTCAATACGATATCCAGACTCAGAGCACCGTGAGGCTGGAACGTCAGGACAGAATTCGGGTCGATTTGAGTCCATCTTAATGCCAGTGCTCGCGAGCGTCCTGGTCTTGTTCTCCGGATAGGCTTCGAGGTCCGACTAGCTCAAAATACGAGGACTATGCAGTTGGTGAGCATACTCCCAGAGGCCCAGCTCTGTCCGAATGACGGCAAGCCGATGAGCCAAAACAAAAAAAGACAATATTCGCACGCCTTTAAAAGACACGCGCACAATGGATATCTTCTGTCATAGAGTACAGGCATGAGGACGAGAAGCGAAAAAGAGTCGAAATACAACATGTATGTGCCTACCATCATGGCTGCGTGTTCGCCGAATGTCACTTTGGCTAACAGGCAAAACTGCAATATAAGTGAGCACATTAGGTCAATTTGGATAAGCACACAAAGGCAAAAACCAATTCAATCTTCGACACACACACACACACACACAACTGTGTAAAATGATGAGTGAGTATACTTAAAGAGCTACCAACATAACTCGACTTCCAGGAGAAACCAGTCGATCAAAGTAATTTACGCAGATAACTCTAATACAGCAAATGAGAAAATGGCTTTAAAAATATCATTAAAATAGGTTTTCGAAGGTCCATCAAGGAAAGGAATCAATATCAGCCGAGAGGCTGAGCCATACGCGGGCGGAAAATGATTTAAAGAACTGTCTCCGAGACCAAAAATAGGCCTCGACGAAACGATAAGAGACGCACCGTCCTTTTTAGGCCAGAGTGGGAACCACCTTGAAAGTGAGCCTCTCAAAAGTGCCTTGACAATGCAATGACTCATTCGCACATATCGATCCACCTTCACGTGGACACGTGGCACAAGCCGCAATTGTCAGTTGAAATCGGTCCGTCGAATGACTCAGCCAATGGCTGAGGTCACACGAACGCACCAGTATCGATCGGCCCCTGTCATATCAACGTGGCAGTTGAACTGGCAGTGGCCAGTTCAAATCTGAACACTCGAGCGTCATCGATCGCTACAGGCCTCAGAAAAGCCAGTCTAGCCAGTCAGTCTATTTGTCAGGACCCAGCAGGACGCATGGCTCGCCAGACGGCCGGTCCGCGGCAGGGCAATCCAACCTGGAGCATCAAGTTACCACAATCGCCACTTCTTCGGAGCTACCACATCTTCCGGTCAAGACGAGGCCAGCCTACGAGTGTCAAACAGCCTCAGTCAGGCTAACTCATGCATCTTCAACGCACATTCCTTTATTACACCGTCAGTCCTGGCCTTGCTATGTCTGATGGGGAGAATGAAAGTCTGCTCGATCAGTGTGTATTCATATGCAAAACTGTCTCGTCAACACCGGGTCGTAAGACTAGCATCTTCGCACCAGTCCGAGGCCTACAGCCTCCGCCAACACAAGTCGCTTCAAATGGCCGAACCGACCATCTCGAGGGCATTGTCGGAAAGGGGG